CGAAAGAAGATTTGTGTCATTACATAAAGTAATGACAAGTGCTTGAGATGCTGAGTATATTAATTACCCTTATTTAATAACTACACATTGTATTATTATGCTGAAAAAGCACATTTTATCCCCAAAACACATACACTTGTTATGTTAATAAAATAGTTAAAATTTTAAAAAAGGACACATGGTAGGATGCTCAATCTTAGACCAAATGTCTATCAAAGTACTGGAGAGTACCCCCCAAACACCATCATGTTGGTCAGCTTCATTCTTGCACACTGAGCAAGTCATTGTGAATCCCTTTTTGACTTTAAATACCAAGGAGTTTACAGTGTTGCCCAAGTGGAATTCAAAATAAAATAACCCTGAACTCTGAAATGACATTTTACTCCTGTGAAAAGATATGAAACATTTCTGTATGCTGAAATTAAAGAAGTTTTTTAGATTCTCTGCCTTTAGTTTTGGCACACACTTTGCTAGTGCCCTGAGCATGTGCTCTGTCCTCCTGTTGGGCTATCAGCCCTGCTCTGAGGTAAGCTCTCCGTTCAGGGCTTTCTATTTGTTCCTTACAGTGGCTTCTCCAGACATTGCTTATCATCTCCAAGCCTCAATCTCCTACTCAGAGGAACTCACTTCACCTTCTCTGAGACAGTAGAGGCCAAACCTGCTCCAGGCTCCTATGCTCTCCACCATTACTTCAGAGCAAAGACATTGCAACTAAAATGTATTGAGCCCTTACCGCCTGCCAGACACTGTGGTAAACACTGGGTAGCTCATTTTTATCACAACAAACCTTGAGGCAGGTATTATAACTCCCAAATTGGTTAAACAATTTGCTCATTGTCCCTGCATCACTTAAGGCTTTTTTTGGGGGGGATCTATCTATAGATATATCTACAGATAGAGATACCTACATTTATCTCTATCTATAGCTATCTCTATCTCTGTCTACCTATGTGTTGGGTCATTGGAAAAGTCATCATGCATTTTTGCACCAAAAAACATAGAAAAATACATGATGACTTTTTTGACAATCCAGTATGCATCCTTCGGCTCCCTAGCAATTCAGAGAATTCCCAGAGCCAGGCTTAGAAAATGGACAGGAACCAGGAAGGAGGATAGGTAGAGTCAAAATGAAAAATCATCTCATTCCTCCATTTAGCTGCCACCAGATCCCATTGCTTGGGACCTTGAACTCTACCCCATTTGCCCTGATGCCCTATTGACCCTGGATGCTGAACAACATGGTGTGTTCCTTTGTCAAGATACATCCTCTACTGTTTTTTCTTTCTGAAATCAGGAGTATTTGATTCAAAGAACAGGATGGGAGTCATCTGACTGGCTGAGCCTAGGCTATGTGCTCACATCCTAGAGGTAAGGTGAGCAGGAGAGCAAGTACATACACTTTTTCAGTTTTATGGTGCAAGGCGGCACTGCTTCTCCAAAAGACTCATATGGTGGAGGATTTTCCCCCCAGTAGAAAGGTCGATGCAGATGATAGATCAAAAAACAAAACAAAATGAAGCAAAATGACTAAATATCTATAGCAGTCACACAGGTAATAAGTAGCTCAAGTAGGATTCAAATTTCAGGTCTGTTTGACATAAAAGTTTCAGGGTTTAAGGACAATGTTATGCAGTTGTTCCATAAAATCCCCCTCCTTTCAAAAGAAAAGATCTCTATTGAAGTCTGGTGGTTTCATTTACTTTGACTCCACCTGCTTCTTCCACTCCTGGAGTTTTCTCCAACAGCTCCCTCTCCCTTTTATATTTTCAGTATCTTTGTACAGTGTACAGCTTAAGCTGAGGGGAAGTACACTGTACAAACATATTTCCTTAGGACCTTCTCTTTGGTCTGGGCTCCATTGCAGAGTCCTGGGTTTGAATCCTGATCCCATCTGTGGTCCTCTTTAGTCATTTTACCTCTCTGATCCACAGTCATGTGGCCTATCCTCCTTTTAATGCCTCACCTTATGTCTCAAACATTCACAACCAACCCTTTTCTGACCAGTCTCCTGACCTTCCTTTATGGAAATTGCTTTTTATGCTCTTCGTTTAAAAAAATTTTAAATAAAATATGTTTAATAAAAATGAACTTGAGAGCCATGATCTAGTGGTTGGGAAGCTGGGTCCCACATGGCTGATTGCATGGTTTACATCTGGGCCCTGATGACTTGAAAAACATGCTGGGCATGTGCTCCAAATCCCAACAGGATGGAGAAATGCGGGAGAAGGGATTGTGGTGTAACCACGTCCTAATGGGAGTGCTATCTCTCTCTGGTGAGTGCACATGCCATATGGTAAGAACTTAAAGAGAGAGAGAGAAAGAAAAAAATATTTCAGTCCTTCTAATAGCTAGTATGGCAGTCTGGATGAGTGTTGGCCAGCGAACTGGAGCAGAATTGATGTGTTAAACATCTAGGTTTGTTTTTTTTTTAAGACTTTTTTCTTTTTTTTTGTAAGTTTTTTTTTGCCATAAGGTGCATGTGCTCACCGGAGAGAACAGAGAGAGAGAGAGAGAGAGAGAGACAGTAAGAGGGAAAGTGAGAAATCACCTCCCAGGGGAGAAGGCAACACTGCAATTATTACTCCTCCATTCTTTTCCTGGAAGTTTGGGCACACATGCACATGTGCCTGGTATGAGTTTCAAGACATCAGATCTGGGACTCAAACAGTGGTTGGCCATGTGGGAGTTGAGCACCTTAACCACTAATGCACCTGCTGGCCCCATATGTGGTATTCTTAAAGGGAAAGATGGTGAACTTCATTTCCTTCTCTCCTCTCACTTTGATGACTGGAATAGGGGCCAGAGCAACTTTTGGTTCATTAAATGAAGCTGACTATTGAGGATGATGGAACATCAAGACAAAGGAACCTAGTTCCCTGCTAAATTGTGAAGTGACTACACTTAACTCAGACTTTCACATAGAAAATAAGTCAATGTCTGCCCTTTGGAATCATTATTGTTTGGGGAAATAATAAACAATAGATAAAATACCTGAAGTACTATTGGATATGCCAGGTGATGCCAAATTACTTTTTAAAAAGAATTATTTTATTAAATTAATTAATTTATTATTATTATTTTGACCAGAGGGAGACAGAGAGAAAGAAGGAAAGTGAGAAAGGAAGCCACCAGATCTGAGATTTAAACCATGGTCAGCCATGTAGAAGCTCAGTGCCTCAACCACCATGCCACTTGCTGACCCTAGTCAAATTTCTAACACTCCAAATGGAGAGACAAAGATTAAGCATGTAAAATAAAATGTAAAAGAACAGATAAATGTATGAAGGGCACAAAACAGGTTACTAAGATCCAGAGTGACTGCAGGTGGAAGTATCTGGAGACGAGAGAAAGCCTCTCCACAAAGATGACATTTGAGAAGAGATTGAATGATGAGTAGGTGCCATTCCCAGAAAAATCTGAGGAAGAGCTCTCCTGGTAAGGCCCTGAAGTAGGAACAAAATTGGTAAATTCAAGGTACAGAAAATGTACACGTGTGTATCCTTCTGTTAGAAAGCTTAGAATGGAGAGCTTGAGTGTGTCAGACAAAACATGATGCTCTGTGAGGTTGGCCCACATGTGAAGGTTCTGGATTTTCATCTATAGACCTCCCTAAATATACTGGGCTTGCACCTACCTGCCCGTGATCCAGACTGACTCAGGCTGAGGGTGAACAGTGCAATCAAGACCATGTTGGCAGTACTTGTCTGTCTGTCTGTCTCTCTGTTTCCCTCACTTATGCAAAAAATAAATATTTTTTAAAAGTTGAGAATAAGTGATTTTTAAAATAAAATATTTTAAGCTAAAAAGCTTCTTCAAAGCCATGGAAACAACAATTAGCATGAAAAAACAACCCTTAGAATGGGACAAAGTATTTGCACATTATTCCTCAGACAAGAGGTTGATATACAGAATATACAAAGAACACAGACAGCTCACCCAATAAAGAAAAAAAAAAAGCAATAATCCAATTTAAAAATGGGCAAATGAACTGAATAGACAACTCTCCAAGGAAGACATAGGAGTGGCCAAAAGGCATGTAAAATGTGCTCAACGTTTCTTATCATAAGGAAACTGCAAATTAAAACCACAATGAGATATCGTTTAACCCAAGTTAGAATGGCTAGGATAAAAAAAATTAAAAATGACAAGAGGCTGTGGTGAAAAGGGAACCCTCTTACACTGTTGGTAGGAATGTAAATTAGTACAACCTCTGTGGAACACAATATGGAGTTCCTCAAAAACATGCAAATAGAACTACCATATAACCCAGTAATCCTACTCTTTGGTATTTACCAAAGAATAGGAAAACCCGGTGTCAGAAAGACACTTTCACATCCATGTTTATTGTAGCATTATTCACAGTTGCTAAGACATGAAATCAAATTAAGTTTTCAAAAACCGATGACTGCGTTGAAAAACTGACATATATTCACTATGGAATACTACTCAGCCATAAGAAACAATGAGATCTTCTCATTCAATTCAAAGTCAAGGAATTTAGAGGACATACTCTTAAGTGAAATGAGCCAGACTTTGAAAGATACAGATTGTATATCTCCACTCAATATGTATTGAATGTCTGCACTCTATGGCAAAAATGGAAAGATCTGAAGATATGAGAGTAGAGGGGATAAGTGTAGATTACCAGAGACTGTAAGGGAGGGCAGTGGGTGGTAGAGAGTGGGTGGGAGAGGCAAAGGGAAGAAACTTTTAACAAAGGAACATAAATTTCTCTGTGGAAAAAGAATCTTCTGTAATTTTTGCTTTATAAAAATTTAAAAAATGGTTTTCTATGTATTTTTGCATTAATGAAGTAATTTTTTCATGAGTCTGAAAAGGCAAAGTGGCTTTAACTTGCTTGTATTCTTGCCAGGAGGGAAAGCCTGTCTGCCATGGGCACTGGCCTGTTTCCCACACTCCCATCCTGTGATTTGCTAAAATATCTGCTACACACTGTCCTTTGGCCTGACTGACCTCACATAAATCCCCTCCTGTTCTGATTCACTGCCCACGGCCCTGCTGATAAAAGCAAAGCTCATCCCCGCCGTTGAAACTCTATTTTCATCCTCTACAGCTCAGCCTCCTTCATCTCCTGGGTCCTGCCAGCCATGAAGCTTATTTTCCTGTTTCTTGCCATTCTTCTGGCTATGGAACCAGTAATGTCAGGTAATTTGGGTCTCTCAGGGGTCTGTAATCCTGGTCACAGAATTCTCCCCTTTTCTTTTTCCTATCACTATGGGAAGCATCTGGAGTCTTTTCTTACTGAATGAAGCTTTGACAGGGTTTCCAGGATCATCTCATGTTAAGATTATTCCCTGACTCTTTTTTTGCCAATGTGGATAAATTGGTATATGTTTTGAATCACTGAGCATTGAAAGGAAGGGATGACATCCTTGTGGAAGCTTGGGAAGGACTTAGAGTGAAAGATCTGGTGCAAGTTGGGGATTTGTTACAGACTTTGAGAGATTAGACTGAAGGTTGGGGGTGAGTTGTGATGAGGGAGAAAAATCTCTGGGGTTGAAGTAATAGAAAGAGGACTAGAATGAGCTAGAGGTGGGACCAAGAGATAGCGTGATAGTAACGTTGATGGTCTCACATGCAGTCGACCAGGGCTCAAGTCCCAGACCCAGTGGCTTAAAACTCACTCCTAATGCATGTGTGTGCATGCTCAAAATCCCCAGAGGAGAATAGAGGAGAAGGGATTGCAGTGCAACCATCCACCCTGGGGAGTGATTTCTCACTTTCTGTATCTCTCTCTCTGTCTCTCCAGTGAGTGTACATGCCCTATACAAAAATCTTTCTTAAAAATAAGAAAAAAAAAGATTTTTATAAAAACAAACAAACTCTCTAAAAACAACAACAATAAAAAGAGTAAGCTGGGGGTGAGATGTTGGGCTTCCCTAATAGATTGGGGTGGATTGGAGAGGAGACAGAGCTTGTGGGTTGCGTGGAGCTAGTGCTGGGGATTAGACTGACAGTCAGTGCCGGATGGTGCTCAGTCTGGTGATGAGCGCTGCGGGAAATCGAGGTTGGTGACTAATTAGATTTGGGTTTGGCTAGGAGCTAGGGCTCAGTGGCAATAAGCTAGGTCAGTAATGCTGGGAGTTCAGTTAAGGTTGGACTGGGTTTCAGCTTGCATTGGGTGAATATGGAGTCAAGGAGAATAGGATATTGGGTGTGGCTGGAGCTGAGGCTTGTTGGGCTTAAATTAGACCTGGTCAGGCTTTTGATAAAGAGCTGGGTCTTTTGTAAGTAAATCCACTCCACTCGCTAATATTACAGATGTTTATTGTCCTTTACTCACCATTCCCAACCTCCACTGAAAGGGACATTCAGTAGCATCAATTGATCCCAAATTAAGGAGTAGAAAATTGGGGGTTAAGAAAAATAGAATGGGGGGATATCTAAAAAAGGTTCTTCTGAAAACATTGGAGTTCTCTTAGTCTTAGTTCTCCCTTCTCTCAAGGTGCTTTCTCTCCCTTCCTGGGTCTGGGCCCAGTATGACTTATTCAACCCTCTGTCTCCCATCTCCCCTGTCCTCCTGCTCATCTTCTGCACCTTCTTGTCTCTCCACTTGGTGTTACTAACATCTGCTTAATGTTCCACGAAGAATGTTGGATGAAAGGACACTGTCGGCTGGTGTGCAAAGACGATGAACAGAACATCATACGCTGCAAAAACCGTAAGCGGTGCTGTGTCCTTACTCGTTACATAACAGCGGAGCCCATGACAATTGACGGAATCCTTGCCTGGACCAGTCCTCAGACATCCACACCAGCCACTAAAAAGAAGAGAAATAGACATCGTGGATAAAAATGGCTTTGCTTCAGATTTCTTAGTTTTCACATTTCATTAAAACTCACAAATTTGTTTTTTGTGTCTGCCAGTGGTCAGGAATGATACCCCAAATGGATTGAGAGTGGAGAGGTAGCAGAGGGAATTAGGAGATAGTAGAGAGAGGTCGTTAGGGCTGGGTCACAGCAATTAAATGATGATTATACTTTTGACGAAGGTTCTTCATCAGCTGCAGAAGAGGCTACTGCGTCAGGGGTGAACTGAGAACAGGGGAGCAGAGAGATTTAAAGACAAGCAGATGCCTGGAGAGAGGGAGAATCGTTGGCCTGGGAGTGTTGGTTCATCTTAGGAGTGAATGGGCTGGGTGTAGACAGGGGTTGAGTAAAGCCCTAAATATTTGGGTTCCTAGGGAATTCAGCTGAGATGCTTTCTGATGTTCAAGACCCTCCAGATCCAGGGCCGGAAGATTTCCAAATACTAACAAAGCACATGAATCTACTCATTTACATATGAGTTTGCTCACTATTCATCTTTTACATTTTTTAATGAATTCATTTATTCTTTCATTTGGCTCAGCTCTGCCGCTTGCCACCAGAAGACTTGGCATATTAATCTTTCAAAATTTCAGCTTTCTCATCTGTAAAAATCAAATAATAGTAGAATCTATCTCAGGATTTTAAGAAAGAAATGAGATCTTACAGAGCACAGTGCCCACAGCACAGTAAGCCCTCAATACATGTTAACTGCTGCTATTATTCATTATTTATTAAAGAATTTATAGAATGCATGCTGTTACCTTCCAGCTGTTAAACTCAGGGCCCTGTTTTGTCTAAACTGACAATTTAGGCTGCAAGAAGAATAACTCACAAGGGACATTTAAGAATCCTGATGGCAAGAGGCCAGCAGGTGGTGTGGTGGTTAAGGTGTTGGACTCTAGCCTGGCTGGCTACAGTTTGAGTCCTGTACCTGGCAGCTTGCTATATTTCTTTCTTTCTCTCTCTCTCTTTGGTAAAATTGAATAATAGTAATAAATAAAATTAAATGAATTTTTTTAAAAAAAAATTTAAAAACAAACAAGCAAAAAAGAATCCTGATCAGGACTTTGGAGGACTGAAAGTTCCCCCAGGCTTTATTAACTCAAATCCTATTCTCTGGGCCTTACTTATCCAACACTGCAGGAGGCCAGGGACTGGGAGAGCTCTATAAAGCATGGTGCAGGACATAGAAACAGGTAGAAAGGGGTCACTCTGATCAGGAAGATAATTTGCTTTCAGTTCAATATTTCTCTTGTTAGACTCTGGAAAGAGAGGCCCCTCCTCTCATCTTGGTCCTACTATGGGCTTCCTCTGGCTAACTCCTTCCCCATGAGGTGAGGAATTATTGGGAACAAGGGGATGTACCCACCTCAAGACTGCCCTCCCCCTTTTCTGATCTGTGCTTTAGCTGGGATCTGGGATTACCTGTCCCCAAAATGCTTGCAGCTGCTTCCAGGGACTGGAAAGATCTTTCCCCATGGTCCACACTGTTTCTGCATACTCCTAGTCAGGAGGAGTGCAGAGGGACACTCGTGTCTGCAGGGGCTATGGCTTGAGTGAAAATGGCTGTGTATATGAAGCCCTTACAGCGTGGGGGCGAGCTCAGCATGGGTAAAGGAGCAGTGGCCTGTGGGCTGGGCCAACTCCCTTCATGTACCTATGTTACTAAATCTAATGCGAGGATTCTGCTCTGGCTCACAATTCGTTTCTAAGCCCATTTCAGAGGCAGGAGTTGCATAATCCGCGTTTGCACAGTTTTAAAGTCTGTCCATGAGCTGGGGGCTCTCAGGCTGCACATGAGAGCCACCTGTGCCTTGAGGTGCCAGCCAAGATCATTCAAAACATTTTTTCTTCTAGTTTTTGCTATCAGGCATGTTTATATCTAGTCTGAAGAGAAATATACAAAAAAGCAAGAATAGCTAAAAACAAATTCAAAAAAGAATAAAATTAGAGGATTTATTCTACCATATTTCGAGATGTGTATATTAAACTGACGAGAATGGGTACTGCACTTGCTCTTAGGCAAAAGGCAAGGAAGTGAAGTCAAGACTTCTATAGTTATAGGATCCAGACTCTGTGGGACTGACGCAAAGTTATCAATGGAATAGAATAAGGAACTCAGAAATTGTCCCATAGTAGGACAGCCAGTGAATTTTCAAAAGAATTATTTATTTAATTTTATTTTTCACTATTATTCTTCTTTAAAATTTGACCAGACAGAGAGAAAGTTAGAAAGCAAGTCACCAGAAGGTCCATGACTTCTATAGCAGCTAACCATGTGAGAATCCAGGCTTTAACCACCATGCCACCTGCTGGCCTCAGCCAAGGAATTTTTTACAGGTACAGAAACTATTTGATGGAAGAAAGATAATCTTTTCAACAATGATGCTGGAATAATTGGACATCTCAAGGCAAAAATAGCAAACCAAAACAAAAACAATCACAAAACCAGAACTTTGACCAGGTAAATCTCACTCCGTTTACAATTACACATTGTATTCATCTATCAAAAAAAAAAAAAATCACACTATGGGGCCAGCAGGTGGCATGGTGGTTAAGGAGCTGGACTCCCACATGGTCCACCACAGTTGGAGTCCTGAACTTGGTGGCTAGCTTTGTCACTTTCTCTCTCTCTAGAAAGCACACATGCTCTATAGCAAATTAAAAATAATAATAATAAATAAAATTAAATAAATAATTTTT